GTTTGCTTAATCAAAAATGCTTCTGATATTGTTCAATGTTGTTGTTGTTGTTGTTGTTGTTGATATTGACGTGTCAATCAAAAATAATCATAATTTCTATTGCTAATTATATATATTATTATTGATACACATTGATCAATCAATCAATCAAATGATTGATTGAAACAGCATTTAAACACGAAAAAAAATATATATGACTACTGTTGTGTGTGTGTATATATATATGTTTGTTTATTCGATTTAATATCTAATATTGGATTGGATTGGATTTTTTTTCCATATTTCTATTTTGTTTGTTTGTTGTTTTGGTTACCCAAAAAAAACCAATTACTCGTTTGTATATATGGTCTTTTTTTTTGGTTTGATTTTGAATTGAATTTCACCAAAAAACATCACCCAATGTTATATTCAACTGATGATGATGTTAGTGTGTGAGGCCAACCAACCAACCAACCAACCAACCAATCAACAGAAACAAAAAAAAACCATAAAAATGCACAAACCAAATCAAAGTGAAAAAAAACGAAATAATAATAAAAAAAAATATGAGGAAATGTACAGCCAAAGAATTAATGAATAAACAAACAAACAAACAAACATAAAGACAGACAGGCTGCATCATCATTCACGAATCAACGATGATGATGATGATGATGATGATGATGAGCCTTGTTTTTAATGCTGGTAGCCAGCAATGGTGATAAATTCGAATCAAACCGAATCATAACGAAAATGGAAAAAGAAAAAGAAAATGCCATAAACATAAAGTCAAATGACAAGAATGATGTTGATGACATCCAATGTATATTGCTTTGATAATAATCATGATGTAGAATTGGTTTGTTCGTTTTTCTGGTAATATTATGATGATGATGATCATCCTCATAAATTAATGGCTACATTGAATTGAATTAATAAAATTTTTTTCCTTTTTCTATATATATATATTTCTTCTTTGTTTTATAATTGATGATGATCACTATCAGATAGACACTAAAAAGTCATTGAATGATCATTTTGTCAGACGAAAGACAAATGGCTTCAACCCCCTCTCTTCTTTCTCTCTCTCTCTCTCTCTCTCTCTCTTTTGTGCTTTTGGTCACTTTTGGACCTGGATTAATCTGGCTAGCTTCATTCATTCATAATACCACAAAAAAACTAGCAACAGGTATGCATAATAGCCCAAACTCAACTTACTGATTGACTGAATGAATGATTTTAGTGAAATTGTTGGAAAGTCACGCAGACCAGAAAAAAAATGAAAATCTGATTAATCAAATTTGGTTAGTGGTAAAAAAAAAGTTTCAACATGTGTAATAGCTACTAAAAAAAAAATAGAAATAGAAAGACAGAGACAGAGAGAGATATGATCGATTCAACATAGCTTGTCGACCTCCTACAGTGTTTGTTTGGGCTTATGATCGATATTATTTGTATTGAATTTAGTTCCATTATTAAAAAAAGGAAGACGAAAAAAAAATGTCAACCGGTTGCCAATTCTTTTCATTGGAAAGAATGTTTTAAGTCATTATTCATGTTCCACAAGGTAGACACACACACACGCACACACACACAATGTCTATGTGATGATGATAATCTGTCAATCGTTAATTTTTCTTTCAGACAATCTGATTGTCATTTTTTCCAAAAAAAAAATTTTTTTTCAATCTTGTTAAAACATAAATTCAGTCTCCAAGAATATACAACACGCTGCAAACAAAGCAAAAAAAATCAATAAAGTTAATATCATTCTGAGATTATATGTCACAAACAAAAAAAAACTAATATAAAATATTTGTAATGACTTGATTATAATCATCATGTTTTTTAATGTCCAAAAAAAATGGGTGGAGATCACAAAATGTCATGGTGAGTGATGAATTTGCATTTGATTTCGATAACATACAAACACATAGAACTTGGAATATTTCTCAAACTGGAATCTATATATATTTTATAAATATCGAATGTCTGTAAATGATTGTGACAACGAAAAAAAAAAGGAAAGGATCTAGATAGATAGATATATAGCCAATAATCGTTATTGACCATCTTAATAGCTTCTTTTTCTTCTTCTTTTATATAATTTCCACTGTAATCGTTATTGCTATCGATGTTTTGATCAAGAATTTGGTCATAAATTACAAAATGACCCTCTGATTTTCTGCATTTGGTTTGTACAAGTGTGCATTTGCACACACACACACACACATATGTTTATGATTTTTATTTGATCAAATCGAGTAATACATTAACATGGATCATATTGAAGAAAAAAAAATGATGGATAAAAACATTCATCTAATACATTTAAGCTATAAAGATAATCAAAAAAAAAAAAAAAAAAAAATAAAAAAATTAGTCAACGTAGGATATGTCTGTGTGACAAACCCATCCATATTTACCATCATCATATTCATCAATCAAACGAATGTCCATGAGGGGGGAGGGGAAGAGAATATTTCTTCCTTACTTTTGATTTGTTTGTTCTGTTCTTCTTTGTAATATCAAAGTTTTTTTTTCACCACCAAATCATCATCATCATCATCATCATCATCATCATCATAATCATGGTTAGGCCCCTTGAGGCAACAAACAAAATACGAAACAAAATGAAAAAAGAAAAAAAAATTTCCATTTTTAAATCCACTCTAAATGTGTTTATGTGTGTGTGTGTGTGTGTGACCTCTGAACTTATGGTTATACTTGTTATGTGATGACCACCATCATCATCATCATCATCATCATCATCATGATGAACAAAACTTGAATCTCAATAGCAATTATCATCATTTTTTTTCTTGGGTCTAGTCTTATGTAGACTTTGACTGTTTTGTTTTGTCTACTAAAAACAGCAGTATGTTTGTGTGTGTGTGTGTGTGTGCTGTCTGCAAATAACGATGATGATAATGAAGCTGCACACGTTAAACATCATGATCATCGTTTTGTTACATTGTAACATTGATTGTCCATTTTTTATAATTATAATTATGTTGATGATGATGGCTATGTATACATTGTTGTTGTTGTTGATCCAAAGGAAAGCCATTTTTTTTCTCCTTACATAGATTATCATAGACTGATTCATTAAATTTTTTTTTCTAACAAATTCACACATGATTATAGCATGCACACACACACACACACACACACACACACACACACAGACAATTATCATTATTATCAGGATGTTCGTATATTCCTGATTTGCTCGCTCTTTGTTTGTTTTAGCTGCTGCTGCTGCTGCTGCTATCGTATGATTCCCATAATAATAATTGCTAAAAATCTAATCTTTAAAAGTTCAGAAATATTCCTCATTGTAATCGAACAATTTTTATTAATATATGAATATAGATCGATATTTTTTTTCTCTTTTTTTCTTGGCTGTCAAGTTTCATATGACATTTGACAGTTCAGAAGCCAGCACTTTTTGCTCCAATTATAATGTTGTATCTGTGTGTGTGTAAGATCCTTTCCTTTAAAGGTGCTCCTTCAACGATCGATTGACCGACCAACCATTGGGTCATTCAATCATGCTGATATTTGCTGTGTGCGTGTGTGTGTGTGTTTTGACAGTTTGTTTGGATTATTCTTGACATGTTTTTTCATTGCCAACAAAGAAAACAAAAACAAAATACTCAGAAAGTGGAAAAAAATGAAATGAAAAAAAAGAAGAAAAAATTTTTCCTCTTTTTTCACCAACTTGATTAAAATCGACAATTTCAATTCATTCAAAAATTCTTGATCCAAAAAAAAGTGGACAAAAAAAACTGTTCCAACAGTGTGATTGTGAATTTCAAACAACCAGCTATACACTATTCAAAATAACAAAAAAAAAATAGACAAACAAACAGTCAGTCATACAAGACAATAGGGTTATTGGACAAATGGGGTTCAATGCATGAAAAAAAACCTTCAATTATGTCTGACCAGTGATTTTTCTAGTCATTTCTTCTTTTTTTTCTGTTCCAATCATTTTTTTTTTGCTTTGCTTTGCTTCACCATTCAATTTTTTTTTCAATTTTCAATTCTATTCATTGCCTAATTTTGTTTTAACAAAAGAAAAATCTATTTTTCTATTTTTCTTTTACTTTTTTTTCAAGTTCCATTGTTAATCTTTATTTTTCGCTTTTTCTCTCTCTGTGTGTGTTTGTGTTTACTTTCATATTAGAAATGTCACCAATAATTGAAACTCAGGTAGCCCATCAGCAAAGAGAGAGAGAGAGAGAGAGAGAGAGAGAGAGAGACTGAGAAAGTCAATTCCCACCAATTGGAAAATTGTTTTTGCGTTTTTTTTTATTTTCTTATCTACATTTGTATCCATTTTAAATTATTTTTTTTCCAGAGATTGGAATCTTTATAGATCAAATGTATCGAAATTATTTAGATTTCATACATTGTTGAGATTTTGAATATTTTTCTGTTGTTTGTTTTACACTCGACATACACACACAAATATAGTTGACCAATCAATCAATCAATCGAATCAAATCAAATTGAATCGATGAGAATCTTGGTGTGCACGCCCGCACACATACAAACACACACACAAATACAAACATTTATAAACAGCACAGAACTTTGCACGTTTTTTTCCGATTTAGCTGCAAATTTTTTTTTCTCTCTTTTATATTTATTATTTGTCTTGGCATTTTGACAGTTTGACTGAAAGAACCATGATGTGATGAAGAGGAGCTATTCACACACACACACACACACACACAAACACACATATATACTGATGATAGCTTTAGCTATAGTTTGGCCTCAATTTTTTTTCAACTATGGTAACAAGTTGGTTTTTAGTTTGCATTAATCTTAAGATCCAAAACAGCAGCTATCAATCACATTGGTCATATGCGTGTGGTGTATATATTCATTTATTTCATGGTTCGAACCAAACAAACAAAACGTCAAACAAAAAAAAAAAAAAAAAAATCATAAGAATGCTATCTTAAGTGTGTGTGTGTGTGCTTGAAAATTGAAAAGTGAAAGAAAGAATGAGAAAATAGAATTCTTCTTATTCGTTTATGTTTACACAATTATAAACGTTCAACATTATTCATCATCATCGTTCATGTGGTCGTCTTTACCGGAACTAGTTGATGAATAGTCTAAACTGAATAAATCTGCTTTTCACCAATGTTCTGTATCACCAGCGTCTCTGTGTGTGTGGTATAAACTGAATTACAATTATTATAATATTTAACAATGGAAAAAAATTTTTTATTTTTATTTTTTGCCAAGAATTCCAATCAATAACAATGATGACCAATATAATCCTGGCCCCAAATAGTTCATATACAACACCTGTGGCCACACATATATGTCACTTGGTTTTTTTTTCGACTTTGACTACCTGTTGTTCTGTATATGGTAATCTCATCAATTTGTGTTGTGCATATACAAAAGTTTTATTTACTCAGCTCTCGTTGTGGCCATCCAAAGCAGGAGTGTTCTTTTACTTTTGCTCTATTCGATCTGTATCTTTTTGTCTAATTTATTAACCATTACTTTTTTTTTTAGATAGAAAAAAAATATTCAATCCGATTCATTGTCTTGTGACAAGTATATGACGACCACCATCATTCGAAAAACCCATTATCTCTCAATCACTTCTATTATAGAGGGTATATGGCCTAAAACCAAAATAAAATAAAAAAAAAACGCAACAGGTATAGATGTATTTAGGCATTTTTCTTTCTTACTATCTGGTCATTTAATATCTTTCAGACGATTCAGGTAATCAATCAAGTATATACAAGAGAAAGAAACCATACAAACAGAAAAAAAATCGAAACAGATAACAAATGCCATTTTCTATAAACCAATATAAGCTTTCAATATTGACTTTTTTTTCGTTGTTGTTGTTGTTGTTGCCCGTCTTTTGGTCCAAAGATTTATTATTATGGTCACTACTATATTGGCATTGGTTCGAATTGACTCTTTGGTCTTTCTCTCAATTTGATTTCAACTTTTAGATAAGAAACTTGTGTATATATGTGGCAAATGAAGTTTGTGATGGTGATTATCGAATAGTGAAAAAAAAATATAATGTATATTCATCATTCTTTTCAAATAATAAATGTCACCATTGCCAACGGTGGTGGTTTGGAGACAGTTGGACAATCCATTTTAAATCACTTCGAATTGAATGACAACAACAGAAAAAAAAGAGAGAAGAAGAAGAAAAATTCACAAATGGTTTTCTAATCTAAAATTTATTTATGTGGACAGCCATAACAAATGATTAATTGAAATGAATGTCAAAACAAACGACAACTAAGACTACGACAGACGACGACGAAGACAACAATTTAAGCCAAAAAAAATAAACTGAAAATTTCATCAAAAAAAAACGAATAAATAAGTTTCGTATGTGTATTTCCGGTTACCATACATGATTGGCGCTGATATGGATTGAACATATGCTTGTCAATCGTTGTGTGTGTGTATATATATAAAGTAATCCCAAAATGATGATGATTTGAAAAAAAAGCAACAGCCAAAAAAAAAAAAAAAAGATTTTCCTGTCAATTATAATCATTCTTGTCTTATGTTTAGCTTTTTGGTCATTAGATGATGTTCATTTCATGTCATATATATATGTGTAGTATGTGTATCCATATCATCATCATTTATATATATAGTACGGTGACAGAGATTCGATTTTCTTAATTCCTATGTTTGGACACATCTCTCAGCAAGAAGTCTAAATAAAAATGAAATGAATTTTCAATCGAAAAATTTTTATTCTCTTGGAATTGAGCGTGTATATGTATGTGTATGGACCCATGTGGTTGATGGTGTTTTTGTTTTTGTTGTTGTTGTTGTTGATGCTCTTGACGATCGATTCGAATATTATATCTGCTACAAACAGAAAACAGTCACACAGCAGGTCATAAATCGTTTCGTTTTCTGTCTGATGATTCTCATGATCATACACACACATACACACACACACACAGATGTTGGATCAAAGATCAGTGTGGATGAATTTCATTTCATCCACATCACATCTTATGATCAGAAAAAAAAACCACGAAAAAAAAATTTGTACGTAGAATGTGCTTTTTTGTGGTTTTTTTTAAACAGAAAACATACGATTGAAATTGGATGTTCAATGGATTATTTGAGTGTGTGTGTGTGTGTGTGTGTGTGTGTGTTTGTATATCTTTTGACATTTGTGATTTTGTCAAGTTCAAATGTTGACCAAAGACAGAATTTTTTTTTAATACTAATCATAGTAGCTAATATAGAAAAAAAAGGTTTTTGTTTTATTGGTTTCAACACAACAGTTTGATATAACGAAGATGATGATCAATTTTTATTTTATGACAACAAAGTCTAACGATATATAATGACCACAATATTAAGAGATGATTATTGCTAAACAATCCCAACTATTAATGGTTTTTTTTCTCTATGAATCCTAGATCTTATCGATCAAAATTGTTGATTGTATCATCATCATAATGTCCACGAAAAGGATGTTGATTTTTTGTTTAAATTCTGACATAATCAAAGAATTAAAAAAAAGGATGAATAGATAGGACATAGTTTTTCATTTGTTTGTTTGTTGGTTTGTGGTTATTTGTTTGTTTTTTTTTTTGGTCATTATGATGAATTTTTTTTTTGTCTAATTACCTCATGTGAGCATACAACATAGGACAGTGTACAATTCCTATGATAAAGTTAGAGATACGGGAACAGAGAAAAGAAAGAAAGAAAGAAAGAGGGTCCAGATTTTTTTTTTTAGCCAAGTTTTTTTCCACTGAAACACTAAAAACTGAAAGATCTAATTACTAGCTATGTGTGTGTGTGTGTGTATGTAAAGAGAATAAAATTGGCTTCATTCACAAGGCCTTTTTTTTGTATGAATTTGCAATGAATTCCATTAAATATAATGTCACATTAACAAATATGATCATGGGAATCGACCAGATGTTCTTAGTTAGTTGTTTAGATAGTAAAAACACTGGCAATCCAAAAACACACACACATACACTTGTCATTCTTCATGGTCAACACAAACCTTAAAAGGTTGTGGGTTGTGTAATATCATAACATTGTCAATGAAATTTTTTTTTAATTTTTTTCAAAAAAAAAAAATAAAATAATTTATAATACAAAATGATGATGATGATGATGAAAAAATCAAGAGAAATACATTCTTATATATATTATACATACACAAATGAATGAATGTGAAACAAGATAATCAAACAGAAAAAAAAATTTATGAAAAACAAATGAAAATTGGAAAATGAAAAAAAAAATTGATTAATAAATGACTTAGAATTGTGTCTTGTGCTAGATATTTGTTGTTTTGTATTTTATTCTAGCTATCTATTTAGACTGCAGTTTCATTCCCACCACCATTATTTCCCCCAATACGATTATGAAGAATATCGGCTAATTGTTGTTGTTGTTGTTGTTGTTGTTGCTGTATATGATCCGGATGATGTGTGGATGATATTTTCGAACTGATTGTCGTCGACATTGTAGTTGATCCATTGTTGTTGTTAATATTGTTGTTATTGGCAATACCACAAAAAAATGTTGTCTCATTGTTGACGTTATTAATGATAGTAGGCTGAGCTTTGGCCGCTAAATGCATATCGTTCATAAAGAAAAAATGATTCGCCTGATGATGTTGATTATGATGCGGATGGCCAATATTTGTATGCTCCAAAGAAGGTGTTATTTTTGAATCAATATTCAATTGATGTTGTTGATGTGGATGTTGATTCATTATGGCTTGATTTTCGTTATAAAGAACTTGAGATTGTTGTGCTAACTGTACTGTTGGATTTTGTATTATCTGTTGTTGAGGCAATGTTCTTGACATCTGATTATTATGATGGTTATGAGGATGACCATGAATTGTAGTCACTGGAAATACTTTTTTCGTCATACAACGAGTTATTACACATCTTAAAGCGGTTATGGGAGATCTGGCTGTCAGAATCCATATACCTGTCTTGATACCGATTACAAGCGACATAAAAAGACGCATGTTGAATATTTCAAAATTAGGACGATTTGATTCTAGGGATTCAATCATTGGTGGTGCATTTATCATATTTGTAGATGTGGACGTAATGATGGCAGTAGTATCGGTTTGTCTTGAAAGCCATTGCTGTCGATACAGATATTCATAGATGTAAGTAGATAAGACACACAAAGCCGGAAGTGTGTAAAACAATGCAAATATTCCGCTACGGATAAGAGCAGCATCGTCATTATAATGGCCATTGGAATCGTCATGGCCATCATAATCAAAAGCATCATTAATAGCCATTGTTGCTGCTGCAGCTCTCTGTTGATGAGATGGATATGACGCTAAATTTGGATTAGCTCGCAAATTGATGGTACGATTTTGATTAGCGTTTGGAACAGCAGCATGTGTATGATTTGACCAAAGGCCATTACCATTAGTATTGATACAGTGTTTATCTTTTGAGATAGAGTTATTATTATGATGATGCGAAGTCGACATTGTGGATGATGAATATGATGATGTTGATGATGAAACGGTTGCAGAGCAGAAATTATTTGACGTTTGACGTCGATGGTGATGATGATGTCGATTCGAAGATGGTAACAGTAACAATGAATGTCCGGAACCAGCCTGAGCAGTAGCCCCAACTCTTCCAAGTCCATGATGATGACCATTATTTTGGCTATAACGGCCATAATTTCTGCATAAACGACGACAAAAATCTCCACAACCAATAGATGCGGCATCCGATTGTGAAAGGCTTGATTGATGATCAGTTTCGGCATCTACATTGCTACTATCGCTATTACTGCTATTCTCTTCATCACTACCAGCACCACTGATACAACAATGACAACAAGGTACATTAGTGTCGGATTCATTGATGGTATTAGCATTGAATCGAACAGATATGAATGATATGATGATAAATAAAATACCAGTAGTCAAATAGATAGCCATCGGTATAATGACAAATCTTAATAGATTGTTATCATCTTGTGATCCTACATAACATATACCGGTCAGTTCATCAGCATCAACAGCTCGCATGACCAATGCTGCCAATGTTTGTAATGCTGGTAATGTCCAAGCTAACGAATGATAAAGTTGGCTATGGTAAGATAAACGTTGTTGTGACCAGGAAAACGCTACCGATAATGACCATGTTATGGCCAAAACAAGCCACCAAGCTGAACCAGCCATGCCAAAATAGTAAAGCATTAAAAACGAGAATGTACAATGTGGATTATGAGCTCCTTCTTGAACAAGCAACAATTGTTGTTTATCGGGACCTTCCTGATAACAAGATGCGGCCATTCTTCCAACTAATGCACGATATATATAGGCCAATGCATAGATCATTGAACAGAATGCTATGTAGAATATGGCTCGTTCTGGATAATGAAATCGATCTGTAGATCCAGTCATAAATGCAATCAATGTGAATAGACAACTAGCCAACGATAAACATGCCCATACGACTGTCCAATAATCTACAAAATTTTTATTCTCTTCAGTGAACAGAACATCCGATTCACATCGTGCTACACAACGACCACGAGGATGTTCCAGGAAAACATAATTTTCTGATAGTCGATATTGCCAACATTGATTAGATCCACTTGTTGATGACGGTGTTCGTTTGTCTTGTGGTGTATCAATAACATTTGTCATGATAATTTCGGTTGTTTGTTTTGGATGTGGTTTGTTACGATTACGATTATTAATATCGGCTGCTGGTCCATAGATCAAATCTCCATAATTATGATGATGAATAGATGGTGGTAGTTGAGGCGGTGAAGGTGTTATATGATGATGACGAGAACCACCAGGTATCAATAGATGAACTGATGGATGTGGTTGTCGATTGTTGTTGATGTTGTGATTAACATGATTAATATGTGGTGGCTGAGCAACAATTGAATTGTGTGCAAGAACATTTTTAATAGTTGGTGCTTTATTCGGTACCATTAATTCTGATTCATGCGGTGGTGGTCCTTCCATACACATGTGATCGATTGTATTTTCTGGCACAAATTTCGAACAATTCAATGCAGATGGCCATTGAAAACCAAGTTCGGACAAAACCGGAGCACAACGAGATCGTACACTTTCACATAATGGACGACATGGCCCAATCATAACTGGTACTTTTTCCGTACACATTGGAACATAGACTGAGCATAGAAAGAATTTCAATTGTGATGAACAACCATAAGAGATTAATGGAATAAAACTTTGTAGCTGAAGTTCAGCATCTGATTGCAGTTCATGGCCTACGAAATTAGGCATTGAAGTTACATTGTAGCCAACATCATGACATATTTCAATACGAATATCTTCACATGAATGACCGGCCGGTTTAAGATCATCAAAATATTCATCATCTTCAGCAAACGATTCCATATGATGTTGATGTTGTGATAAAGCTGCAAATTGACCATCATTCCAATGGACATCAGAATCAGGCTTTATTGTTGATGAAGTTGTTGTTAAATGTTGTCTCTGTTGTCTTAATTTTCGTTGACCAGATCGACGTGCAGATTCAGCTGGAATGGATATCATTCCACTGACAAGACACAATAGAATTAATGATCGAATGGCTTTCATAGTTGTTTGATGACAGTCACAAATGATTATGATGAATGAATGATGAATAAAATTAATTTACAAATACAATCACAAACACACTGGTAAAATTTACAATGTCTTAATATTTTATATATATGAAAATTTGGCGCTTTTGCATTATCTGTTGATTGTGGTTATGGAAAACATGCGAAACCATTTCCATTCGATCGAAACAAACCAAACGGTTGCTACACTTGATTTGATGATTTGAATCCATCTAACTTGGTGTTTTTATACAAGTGATATATTCCACTATCAACCAGAATGTAATTATCTAATTTCTTTCATATATTAATACTACTTCTTCATTTGGTTTGTGATCATTGCCCACCCTTCCATCATGTATTATTACATGTAAACTCCGCCTATTTTAAAAATTTTAATAGTTCTCATGCCATCTGTTGTGAGTGATTGTGAGTTTTTTTTTGTTATGAATAAATAATTTATTTTATACACTGAAAGTTGTTTACTTTGAATGTTTTTATTTTATATATTGATTTCAAGGTTGTAAACATGATTTTGAGTTTGAGTACACATACATTTCAAATATTACAGTATATCGATGATCGATCAATCCATCAATTTGGTTAGTTTGATCGGAATAATTTGCCACATAAACGCTGTGTAAAGTGGTGGTGAGAAAAAAAATTGCTGATCAAAAAACAGCAATATTTTTCAATACACCGATCAAGATATGGTATAATTGAAACGATTTTTTTTATCAGGAATTGGATCAAATTACTCTTCACAGGTTCGAATTTTTTCTGACTGATCAAAAAAAAAAAAAAAAAAAACTCATCAATATCAAGACAATCAAACATCATCAAAAAGTTCGACTTTGTTTTGGTAACCATCCGGTGTTCTTCCTCATTTACGATTAGCGAAAATATTACGAAAACAATTTCAATATGTCATTCATATATCGATCAGTGATACGTAAAATAGATCCATTGGTTCCTATAAAATTACGTCCAATTTGGGAACATGATGCTGGCCCGAAAACTGTATTTTTTTGGTCACCAGTCATCAAATGGGTATTGTTTATTTTTTTTTGTTTTGTTTTGTTTAATCTAACCTATTTGTTACCATACAAAAAAGGGTCTTGTAATCGCTGGAATATCTGATTTATCAAGGCCAGTAGAAAATCTTTCAGCTCGCCAAACAGGTATTGTGTTTTTTATTTGTTCATCATATAAAATATTCAAATACTAATGATTTAATCCATATATATGTCAATATCAATAGCATCGTTGGCAGCTACTGGTTTGATTTGGTCCAGATATTCATTGGTGATTATTCCGAAAAATTGGGGCCTTTTTTCAGTTAATTTTTTTGTCGCTGCCACCAATATCGCACAATTGGGACGTATCTATTTCCATAATGACCGTAAATCTATCAAAGATTCTCAATTATAAAATTGAAAAAAATAATAATTAATGTAACCAAAAAAAAAAACCATTCCAATGCAGAATATATTGTTTCAAATAAGAAAAAAAAATTCTCATGCAATAAATAAAAAAAATGTTAATACACGATAAGTAAATCAACATCATCATTGGTTATAACAACACACACACATTATTAGGATTTGTAGTGGCACGTAAATCAATCAGAAAACAAGTTTAATCGTTCTTCTATAGAAAATCAAATTTCAATTCAAAACGAATGATGATGCTGTTGCATGCACATACACATATTTAGACAGTAATCGTCTCAATGTTTCTAAATAGCTTTTCTAACTGTCATTGTGCATATTCAAATTAAAAATAGCGCCGTAAAGCTTACATCTTTTCTCTCTCTCTCTCTCTCTCTCTCTCTCTCTCTCTTCTCACATATATATGTAAACTTTTTTTTTTTTGAGTTTGCGCACAAAAATGTTTCCTTAATATCCATTCGACTTGAATGTTGAATGTCTATGTGTAACAAAAAAAAAAAAAATATTGTGTGTCTTTTTACGAGGAGTAAAATAACAACAACAACAACAACAACAAAAATAATAATAACGAAAAAATGAAAAAAAAAAAAATTTTTTGGTAACGTCTTCGATGAATGGTTATCACCGACAAAGAGCATGTAGAAAGGAGAGAAAAAGGCAAATCGCAAACTATTTTGCATTATACGACAACCATAGTCAACATTAATCTATTTTTTATTATTATATTTATTCAATTATATTCATTTTGTTGTTTTACATTCGCATTTTTTCTTTCAAATTATTCAATATTCTGATTTTCCAATGCTTTTATGTATTGTAATAATATTTTTTTTTTTTTTTTTTTTGCAAACAATCTTCAATAATCGATTTCAACAATTTGTTTATTGCTCGATCAGATCCATTCATATCTCAATAATTTTTTTTTAATTTTGTGTTCCATATTATTCTACGATAACAAGAGTGCAACCAATGAATCTGTTGACTATAATGATTCGGTGATCAATACTAATTTTGATATATATTAAATTTATCGAAAAAAAAATCAAGCTCAAATGGGCAGTATGGCTGATGATGATCGATTACGAATCGACGATACTGCTATTGAATTAAATCAATGGAATGATCAGCCAACACATTCATTATATGATAACGTCTATAGTGTTGATTATATCGACCAATGTACATTACGATTACATCTGTTGAATCGTAAAACCAATTCAACAAAATATGATCGATCCACATCATCATGTGAACTAATAACTCCAATATATTATGGTGGATATATGTGTTCGGTGGAACAATTGTTACATTCACCAAGAAATCTAATTGAAGATTTAGAGATTGAACATTTGATAATGATATATTATGATTGCCATCCACATAATCGGCAGCCATTGGCAGCCTTAATAGAAGATTCTGGTCGTCCTAATCATCTTAAAAGATCATTATCGACCATTATACGACACCTAGTGAGAATACCACCGGAAAACAATGATAATGATGATGATGCAGGTCCTTTGGGTCAACAATGTTACGATTGCTTAATGAAATTGGATGCTATCATGACCCAATTATCTCGCCGTTATCGATTCCTCATTACCTATGTACATGAACAATCCGATCTTGTCATAGCGTTCACATCGTATTCACTATCAAAATGTATGTCCATGTCTATAGCCGCTACGTATAATCATATACGAAATAGACTGAATATTATCGCTGATTCATCCCAGCCATCTTATAGTCATATGTCCGATTATCGTGACCAAACCGCCATGATACATCGATTTCTACGGTTAATGCATTCAATACAAACGGATTTTGAATTGAACAAAACGAGCCATTATCATTCATTTTTAGAATTTGTTCGTCATAACAAATTCGATCAATTGGAACCAATAGGTTCGTGTACTACTCATAATGGAAGACAATTAGCTACTCTATTACGACAATATCATAATTATTATGCAAGATCCAATAATGATGATCCAGTTTTAGCCAAATTAGAATCCAGTTACATTTGTCAACGTTGTTCATATGAATTGTTCACTGATTCAAACATATTACGACCACCATCATTATCGATTATGGCAATGAATTATGGTTGCAGTAATAAATATCGAAACGGACAATATTGTCCATCAATATTCATTGAACCAATGGAATGGATGTTCAGATCAAATAATAAACAATTTCTATCATTACATCGACGTACCATTTATTGTCCCCAATGTAGAACGGTAGTTGGTCATTTTCGTCTGAATGGAATGAACTGCCGTCATAAGATAGCGATGGGCGTATGTTCACAACATCCGGATAAAAAGGCAAGAATTTTTCAAATCCATCTTCGTATGATCTACATACGATCATCTCCATATCTACCATTGATTCTTTATCGAATTTGGTGTCATTCTCGTGCTCGGCAACGTTTGAAATCAGAAAGTAAATCAATTTGGCCACGATTATTCAATTTACCATCATTGTCATCAACACTTGCCTATAAAAGACAACAACAACAACAACAACGAATTCAAAAATATCGCCTTCAAAATGAGCAAACAATGGCCAGTGATAATGATAAAGATAATCAATTTAAATCATTTATTCGTTTATCGATAATTAGACAAGCAATGATTAATCAGATTAGTCAGCAAAACAATAGTAATAATAGTTGTAATGAGTCAAATCGACCATTGATTTCACAGCCTATCAGAGATGAGAGGCAAACTAATCAAATTTTAAAACAAAATAATATTGATTCAGATGTTGTCAACACATTGACGACTATTACATTGATGGGAAATAATAAAACCATTGAGAAAACTGAAGTGACAACTCCCATCATCAATAATATAGGCGTTCGGACGCGGTCCAATAGACAAACTGATAATAATGAACAATTGAAACTGATTCTGACTGGTGAGCATTCAAATAATCGGCTACAATCGCCTGAACCAGCACGGCGATCACCATTAAATAAATTTGCTCATACGGGCCAAAATCCACCATTTTCTCCAGTTAAATCAATTCCTAATAGCGTTTATAATAAATCAACTCATGAAAATTCTAATGGTCTTCGTCATTCTAAAGACAATGAGAAAAAAATTGAGAAACAGCCACCACCATCACCGTTACCACCACCACAATCGACAATATCAAAATCACCTCTTCATTCATTAACATCGCCAATCGATTCTTCAGATTCATCAATGTCGCTCGATGATGATGATGATGATGATGGTTTTGAAGATGATAAACAAGCACCACCAACATCTCGAACGACGTCTACAAAACCAAAGCCATTATTGTTATCAATATCAACCAAGGCAAACAAGCCAGGGAAATCAAATGAAGTTATGAAATGTATGGATTGTAAATCCAAATCTAATACTGATGCTGTGATTGCACGTAAATCAATAAAAGTGAAAAACCGTTCAACGAAACAATCAACAACAACATTATCGACAAACATTAATGGGCATCATCATACTAATTCTCAAGACCTTGATGATAGAAATGAAGATAAAATTCGTAAAATGATGTTGACGATGATGAAACCGGAAAGTCGAAAAACTACTAGTACATATAAAATACCTAAGAAAAAACCGGAACACCACCATCACCACCGTCTCGAATGTCAACACTTAAATCATCATCTCCATCATCGGTAAGACGGTCACGACAATCATTTGCCAGTCATACGAATAATGATGACCGATATAACCAGACGATGAAGAATGGAACATTGATTCCATCACAATCGCATTCAAATTCATCGATTGTCATGAACAGAAATTACAACCATCATCAGAAAGGTGTCGATGTTAGGCTCAAATGGTGGTGGTGGTGGTGGCCGTCGAAGATGTCATCAATCATCATCGCCAGCATCAAGATCATCATCATTGACAAGATCTTCTACTATCGACATTAATAAACGTCGTAAATTGATGCGTACATCGGCAACTATCGATGGTGAGAAAAATCAACGCCAATTAAATGGCCCATCAAAAATTCATAATCATAGTGGTCGAATTACTTCATCGACATTATCATCACATCATTCGAATCGTGATCGTTAACATTTTACGATCACCATTTTTTTTTTGCATGTTTAAATTATGAATTCGATTCTATTATATTATATTATATGATTACAAATAATAAAAAAAATACCATTGCAAAAATGAAAAAAAAATGCTTGACTAATGAAACAATGTGACTAGCATCAGTGTAAATGAGTAATAACATATAATTGTTGATTGATGTTTAGTGAGTTATTCGTTTTTTTGTTTATTTCGTTTTCGACGATTTTTCGTTGCATGGCCACTAGTTACTGAAGAGGAGGTTTTTGTTGTTGTTGTTTTTGGTTCTTTATCCATCAAGGAATTGGTGGTTTTGGTTGATTTTCTGGTTTTTGATTGAACGATCGTTGATGTACTAGAATCATGAGACAAGAATTGTTCAACGTTTCGGTTATTTGGTAGAGTGGCCACGAATCGGCCAAACCACCATTGAATGGTGAATATAGATGTCCACTTTTTATTCGTTTCAGGAATTTTTGAAGCTTGTTTAGCTACTATTGTAGTTGTTGTTTTAGGTTCTGTCTTATCAATGTTGTTGGATTGAACTGGTACGAATGTTGTTGTTGTTGTCTGTTGCTGATCATCAATACGTTTGAGAAGAAAGTATAAAATGAGTCGAGTGGTAAGCATCGAACAAAAGGCTACCGCTGGTATCATTTCTATTTGAATGAAAAAAAATAGTAAGTAAAATGAAATACATTCTTATGATTATCATCATTAAAATATATATATATACTCACTATTGTAATCATCACCAATGGCTAGATGTGTATGAATGGCACCGATGGATAGAGCAATAAGGAACACATTCATCCATTGTTTAATACGACCAGGACAGAATGCCAACAATAATCCGGCTATAATTTCTGCATATCCAACAGTCAAACGGAAATATTTTGGTGATACTTTCAAGCCTAGACTGGTGGTTACCAATGGAATTACTTTAGCATAACGGACAAAATTTCGACGCATTTCTCGATGAATTTCAGAATTCAAAAATCGTGATACTTTAATGAGACCAAAGAAAAAGAAGAACATTCCCAAAAATAGTGATAACGATGTAAACACCATACGAGCTATTCGAGCCATCGTTTGACTAGATTCGTTTTTTTTCTAATGCCACACTAAAAAAATATTGACAGAATATTCTGTGATTGACATTTGTTAATAATACACGTGCTTAGGAACAATACTATACAAAATAAACATAAACAAACATAATTCACTCACACTGTGATTGTTTGACATGGAGCCAATTTTGTTTGTTTATTGTGTGCGTCTCAATTGAACCTACCAAAAAAAAATACATGTCACTGGTGTGTAAATCGCGGAGGGTAGGGCTGAAAAGCATTTTTAAAAATTGAATATAATCCCAATGAGGCTCCATCTATCAATTCAAAATGTAAAATTCTAGGACAGATTTTGTAGAATAAAATTGCCGTTGCTAAACTCTTAATATACATATAATACATATATCCATCGTTTGAAATGTATAATAACTTGAAAAACCACTTGTAGGTTGAGCCATCAAATATCCAGGTATATAAAAAATAGACAGGTATATGTATAGCAATGATGTGTCATCCAAAATTGAACAAGACATTATTATGTATATAACAACAGCAGCTAAGCACACCACGCCAATTCGATCATGGTCGAAAATTGTTACCTGAGACAGGTAGTATGAACACAAGCATATACATACATACCATAGGACCTGTAGATTTTTTTTTCGCATTTTCATTTTCTTGATATGAAAAGAATAAGAAGTCCATTGTATCCACGTAGTGGTTATATGTGTAGGAAACAACAATATAACGCCAAATACGCGTTTCATGATGATGATGATGATGATGATGATGATGATGGCCAGGACACTGAACGAATCAACCATCATCATCATCATCATCATGCATCGTTTCACATTAGGCAAGTTAACTTCGGCATTTTTTTTTTGTCTCAGGTGTATCTTGCTTTGCTCTTTTCCTACTATTTACCTGTATGAGTATATGTGTAGCTAGTTAAATAAATGAGCGTTGGCTCTCCATGGTCTTGTATCGTTGTTGTTGTTGTTGATGATTATATATATATATATATATTATATGATGATTGTATGAATGTAAACGATTGAGAGATTGTTGTGTTGGCTATAGCCGAATTTTTATCTCATGTCATATTATAATATTGGCGGTGAATAAAAAAAAAATGTTAATATTCAACAAACATTTATTTTGATTATAATGAACATCATCATCATCATCGAAACAATCAGAATATTTCCGTTTCAATTTTTTTTCTCATGTTCATATTTTTTTTAAAAAAAAAGAAATGAATACAACCAACATTTGTGATATTTGAATACAAATTCAATTTGATTAATTCATTTTATTCGGTTCATTTGTTCAATATAATAGTGTAATGACAAATTTATCTGACAATATAAATTCATTCAAATACAAATGGTATCCATAGTAGTATAATATATTCCATAGGCATTTTATCTTTTACATTTAAAACGATTTATGAATCATTACCGCTACGTACCTACACACACACACACACACACACATACACACACCGGGTGAATTAGACGGTTGCCACGGATTCGGTGTGTGATGACAATCTGAAAACTGAAAAAAAAGTTGCATTGTGTTTCTATAATCTTCTGAATAATCTGTGTTTATCTGACACATCTTTATTTCGACAAACACACACACAGTTTATCTGATTTGAACATTTTTGATTTTTGTTTTTTTTTCTCATTATCGTGGCAACAGTCAATTGAATTGATTGACATTTTGTTATTTTTTGTTTTGTTTTGTTTTTTTACACCTGAATCATTCACATCGACATATAGTCAAATCAATGATCCATCAATTGAAAAAAAAAATTTTCCTGTTGGCTTGTGCTGTTTGTTGTGTGTATATGTGTGTGATCACTGATTCAAGCAACATAAATTTTTACTTTTGAAAAAAAAATCAAAGACGTATTTTGTATTCGCTTATTAGCGAGCCTCACCCTTTCTTGTCTTTTCGTTTATTCATTCATTTCTTACTTGTCATCAACATTTAAATTCAATCCAATTGACTATTGTTTCGGTAAGTTTTGGCTAAAATTTACTAATCACTATTAATGGGTGGCACATTTGAAAAAAAAATTTCTACTGGATAGGATCAAAATATATAATTTTTCAAAATTTATAACGCGATGCCACCATCGATACATTCTTTTGGTGCACGATCAACCACATCGATCGCAACAAATCGATCACGTACATTACATGGTTCTCGTAAAATTAAATTACATTGGTGGGAACGGCGGCCAATATTAGCCAATGCATTTTTCATCGATCTACAAAAGGGTAGCTATTTGGCTGCCATTTATACATTGGTTAGTGGCGAAAGGTTCATTATTAATAAATGTCATATAAATTCTGAAACGTATTTTGTTTTTTTTTTTTTTTTTTAGTTGGAAAGCATCCTGCAGATATGTCTGGCCATATTCGATTTATATTGTTTGATTGAAGCCGCACCCGGTTCAAAACATTCTCGTAATTTTGGTATAAGTTTTCTATTTGTCTACAGCGGTAATCAACATGGTAATCAACATGAACTTTTTATCCAAACTTGTTGAATCTTATTATGTGAATTATATTCAATTCTGTTATCTAGTTCGACGAAGCTTAATGGCCATTGCATTATTGTTAGCTTTAAGTGCTGCATATTTATTGGTCACATCGGTAATATTGATGACAGCGTTACGTAAAGAACATGAGCTTAAATTCCGTCACTGGCTTCGTGCAATGACCATATTCATCTGTTTCCGTTTCATTACCATTATCTATCAATCAATTGTGAATGTAAGTAGTTAATCAATTATTTTTTATTAGCTAAATTATTTGATTCTCAATTTGAATACACACAGGATTTATATTTTGGCTATCATCAAGCCATGTTAATTATATGGTTCTTGCTCACAGCTATCAATGTATTCACTTGGTTAGTGGTATATTCTAATTATCAAGAATTAAGCGATATAACCCGGTTAGAAGATATGGCAAAATTAAAAATGTCCACACTGTCATCGTTGAATGCATCACGTTCATTCTCACATCATAGCCTTGATTCAGCTAATCCTTATGGTCGTTATGGTGGAACTGGTGTTGGAAGCGGTACCGGATCATTACAGCCATCTCCACAAATTTATCATCATTCAATGGTTACAAATCAACCATTAACCATACACGAAAGCCATCAAAATATAGCAACTGGTTCAAGACCATCAGCCGTTCATCATCAACAATCGACGGCACTGCCTACAACACCACGTTCACATCATTCATCACAGAATTCATTACATGCAACCTATTTACAAATGTATTCAAATACATTATCACAACGAAGTCGACAATCATCAGCCGCATCTTTATCTATAAATTCAATGGCCAATGCGTTTCCGATGCAATCATATACCAGTAGTAGTAACAATCAACCACAATCATTATCATTTCAACAACAGCATCATAGTAGTAATCAACAACCAACAAGCAACGTATTAAATACAAATAATAATCAACAAAGCCGATTGAATAATTCCAATGTTAATTATGGATCGGCAGCATTCACTTCATATCCAAATCGTCATAACAATACACCCATGTGAACAAATTTACAATCGACATGTTTATTTAATTGATTCTTTTTTTCCACCATCTATCAATCGTTACATCATAATATACTTAAATTCATTTATTATTATTATTATTATTATTATTACCACAAACATAACCTCACATATATGCTCTATATGTGTGTGGTTGAGATAATTTAAAAAATACCAATGATTGAATATTTGGAACCAATTGTTGAACATATATATACTCTATATGTTTGCATCCTGTTTTCAATTTATCGGTATGTGTGTGCAATGTAAATAATGCTCATTTTTTCTTGCCTTTCGCTCTCTCTCTCTCTTTTTGAACAAATTCTTTTCAAATGATTATATAATTGCATAATAAAATTGAAAAATTTTTTGTACTCAATTTTGTTTGTTTTGTTGTTGTTATTGTCCTCACTTATGGAATTTTCATTTAAAAATTTTAAATGAAATGATTTTTTTTTCATCAACTTTGTTCTTGACAAGCAAGAGAATTATAAGAATATCAAATTACAAGTGTATTTGTATTCGGATTACATAGAACAATTCTTTCTCAGAATATTCTATATTAGCATAATCCTACATTCACACACAACGGAATAGCAACAGTGACGACGACAACGACACCAGAATCATATAGACCCAAATGGATCTTAAGAACGTGATTTTCTGATGTAAAGCTTTACCAGGCACATGTAGTAACAAAATACGAAATTGAAATATACATGAAAAAAAATGATGAAATAAAAAACCCATTTATTTGCTTGGATCCAATGGCCCATGGTGACCATCAAATTTTTGGTTTCTTCATTCTCCAGAAACATGTCAACTACATACACACCCACACCCACACCTACATATTTTATATTTTAATATATATGATGATGATGATTGGCGTCATATTTAGCTTATGATCTCATAGCCAATTAACAGATTCAAATTCTTGTACATTTAGTTCGTTTGTTACTCTGTGTTGCCAAATAGATTCAAATGTAACGCATGCGTTTCCAACAATATATTTGTTTTAACTGGATTGATTTTTTTTATGGGTGATATACGAGAGGCTAGAAAAAAATATGGAAAAAAAATTGAATATAAATCAAGTATTCACTAGAAATTAATGTTTGTTTGTCATCCATCAAATACTTATATTGATTGACATCGATGTAATAGTTTTCGATTCAGAGATTAAATTACCACTTGTAAATCATTCGTATTAATTGAATTTGGTCATTTAGAATTGTGTTCACAGTGTTTTACAATTGTGTTAATTGATCAATTTGGCCATCAAATTTTATCATCCGGTTTCCAGTTGATTTTCAATTTAAATTAATCTTGGTATATAGCTTAAAAATTGTAAGTGCACTATACATCTTTGTTTGAATATCGATCCAGGAATCAAATTCTATTCCTTGAGAATCGTAACAATGTTAGCAAAACATACAATCATACTGATTCTAAGTGAAACAAAAAGAGAGAGAGAGATTGAAAACCTGAATATAAATCCGTTTGTTTGATTGTATGTATTGAATTTGTTTGGGTGAATAAATCTAGTTATTCGCCTCAAACCGTTTCTATTATTATTGTATGTGATTGTTATCCTTGACCAAAAAAAAAGCTCAACTTAAAAGCAATTTACTGTCCAAACACATCTATACACACACACACATTGATACTCCAAAAAAATTCGATGAAATGGAAAACAAATCAACAAAGTGAGATCAATTGTATTTGATATGATTTAGCCAGCAAACGGAAGTCATTGTAATGTAATTGTTTTTTTTTCTTCTTAAATAGCATTCATTCCAATTGTAAATTGATTTTTGTTTCATCAATCATTCTATAATAATAATAACATAATTTAATTGTTGTCATTATTATGTTTACAAACAAACAAACAAAAAAAATGATTGAAATGATCAATGATTAAATCCAGCTATAAATTGATCAATCTGATCGAATTAGTTGTAGTACGTACGTATTAAACTCTTTCATAACAATAATAAGCAGGCATGCATGCATGCAAGAAAGCAAGCAAGCAAGCATTGTTGATTATGGTGATAATCATAATTGGAATGTTGTGATGATTTTTGTTGCCATCATTTTTTTTAACATATATAAATCAATTAATGCATGTATTTTATCTTCAGACAAACATCGCTCATCTAGATGAATTGGCCAAACAATGATAACCAAATCGATCAACAACAATCCAGCCGGTTCGATCAATCTGGTTGTAAAAAGAAAGATTCAAGTGAACTAAAAAAATGTCCATTACGTGCACAGCATTCCGCATCGGCAGCTGAATCATCATCATTGACATCATCATCGTTGATTGATCGAAAATCAATGTCGCCATTATCGCCATTTCCTCGACGAACATCGACAACAAAATCTTTGCCATCAAAACGATCATCATCATCAGCATCAGTATCGTCGTACAAATCGTCTTCTTCAATGAATGTAAGAAAAAAACTGGTCATTGTAGGTGATGGTGGTGTGGGTAAAACCTGTCTACTATTGAACGGTTTGCTAAACAAATCATCATCATCATCATCATCATCATCATCATCATCATCATCATTGACCATTAATGGAGATGAAAATAGTAAATACTTTTTTGAACATTACTGTCCAACCGTATTGGTCACCACTCTTCATACTTTGGATTATCATGGCTGTAAGGTAAGAAATCCAAAATCATTTATTCTAAAAAAATCATTTAACAACATTGTTGCTGGTCTATTTTTGTTTTTTTTCCGGTTAATGATTTTAGATGGAAGTAGCATTTTGGGATACGGCTGGTAATGAAGAATTTAGCCGTTTGGTTAGTATCCAAAAAACCAACCGGTCAATTTAATCGTTTAATTTTTTTTTACATTTTGTTTTCTGTCCTCTCTCATACACTTAAAGCGACCATTCTCTTATGCAAAATGTGATGTCATTTTATTATGCTTTGCCATCGATTCTATGTGTTCATTTTTGAACGTAAAACAAAAATGGGTACCAGAATTACATCATTATTGTCCTAAAGTTCCAATCATTTTGGTTGGAACAAAAAAAGATTTATTGGATCAGACAGCCACAGAAAATGACAAAGGCTACTACAACAGTGAACAGCTACAGTATGATCAACGAGCATTAATGGCCAATAATATAAAAGCAGTCGGTTATTGGGAATGTTCAGCTAAAACCGGTGATGGTATCGATAAATTAATTGAAGGTATCATTGACACAGCATTCGGTCCTAGAGATGAGTTTGCAAATGATAATCAACACAATGACGATAATTATATCGAAAATAACACAAACAACAACAACAACAATGATAACAACGGAAATAAAAAAATCGTAAAAAAGAAACCGGTCGAAGCTAAACCTTTACTATGCCATATAATTTAGAATATATTCAATCGGAATTATGATCCGTCAAAAACAAAATGATTCCGAAAATTATTATTTATATAAAAATTAAAATTTTGATTTATTAACAAATGAATGATAACACATGACAATTTGTTCAATGTTATATAATACCATCATCACGAAATTGACGACGAAATTCAATTTCTAGTCTTCGTTCTCGATTTTGCCGTCGTAGAATTTGATCTTTACGTTCAAATGATTGTTGTCTGCTTGTTTGGATTTCTTTCGATTGATCAATCGTTTGTTCATAACCTAATCCTTTGCGGTCTTGTTTTTCAACAGCTTTCAAAGGAAATTTTCGACCTTGTTCTTGTCGACCAAGGCCTGTTCGACCAGACCAACCTTGTTTACGAAGTAATTGATAGCCACAATTATCTGGTCGATTCAAATGGGCATATTGTGCATACGATGTATCGATTTCGCTAAATTGATTCGCACGGAATTGATGTTCAATAGATAGATTATGTGAATGAATATTCATTGCTTGTACAGTTCGTCCACATGCATCACAGTCAAATTTTATCATTCGATTGGATTTTGTTTTACATCTTGATGGTGATGCTTTTGATATTGATGATGATGATGATTGAGCAATGATCTCTTTGTAAAATTTACCACTTGATTTTTGAGCTATTGAATCGTTATCGGATTGCTGTTGAATAGGTGAATTTTTAGAATGAACAAAGCCAATTAATGGCTGTTTAGTTGAATCACTGGTCATTATCCATAAATCAATTTTTTTTTGTTCATTTCAAATGGTAAACAATGATCACGCTCATCAAAAATCACAGACATATGTTAATTCACACACTAATTGATTCATGGATGGCGTTACGGTCGTCTTGATGGTAATTCGAATTTCAAAGTTTTATGTTTACAGCACATAAAAATAAACGTATCGGAATTTGATCGACAATTCATATTCAAAACAGAGATGAATCCATCCGATTGTATGGCTGTATGGAACATTGTTTAGCGTATATAGAACTTTTGGGAGCCATCAATTGTCAACAACATTAACGTTATATAGACCACGATCGTCTGAATGATTGACCAAGTGACTGACTGACTGAATATTCTATTTGATTTTAGTGTCTACAAATTCTATCCAAGATTTTGAGCACAAAATCAAGATGAATTATGTTTTATTAGTGTCTTGTTCATCATATGTGTATCCATAAATTAATGTTTTTCATTCAAATCAATCTTTACTTACTTTTCAGCAATTGTGCTGGTTCATTTTATATTAATTGAATTCGTTTCTCCAGTAACCAACAACAATAATAACAACAACAACAACAGCAGCAAAATATTCATCTTTGGAATCTTCAACATCCACATCAAAGTAAAGTAGCATTCAATAAAAAAAAATTTGAATTCTCTTTTCCCTATCATAAACAATATCAATTTGGGTAACTCAGACACCCATATATTATTATTTTGTGCTAAATTGTCTCATATGTTGCCTATGATGTATTTTTAGCTTGTCAACAATTCACCAATTTCATTTCATTCCATTCATACAAACGCTCAACATCAATTGTTTTTGTGATTTGATTTTAGCTCATATTTTCCAAACGTAAAAAAACATACCACTGCAAAAAAATAAAATGACAGGCAAAGTAAATCGAAATGATTCTAAAACAACGAAATCATCGTCCATCGATTCAAACCATAATGGTGATGAAGAAGATTCTGTACATTTGAAACAGACAAATGCAGCATTGAAAACATTGCTCAATCAACATTTACCGGAAAATCAACAATCGTTAAAAGATTCACAAATTAATTTGGATAAGATTGCAAACTATTGTGATTCAAATTATTTCCAAGTAAGTCTAGTTTTATTTATAAGAATTTTTCAAGAAAAAAAAATTTAATGGTTATTATCAATCAATTCATAGATCGACAACCAAGACGAAGCATCAGTCGTTACCAAGAATTATGCACAACAAGCATTAGCTTCGATTGCAAGTCAAATATATTCATATGCATCGAATATTCAGGCAACCATCAATCTATTGGAACAGCAATTTGATTCATTAGAATCACAGACCAGATACATTGGACAAAAAATTAAACTTAACGATGAGAAACGTGCACGACGTGAAATTGGTCGATTAACCAAACCGAAACGATTGCTTGTACAACCACCGGTCATTTATCCAGAAAGGCCAAAAATTCGAATGACATCTAAATATCAACATGATTCGATTGATTATAGCTCATTGGATAATGTAGGTGTTGCCTATAAGATTCATCAACAAAATGACAAATCACATACAATGGATAATCGTTCAATGCCGCCGATAAAATCGGCTACACTTCGACCATCTAAATCATCAAATCTTTCTTCCATCATTGCTCCACAACCACCGTCATCATCATCACAATCAGCTGGTAAATCTTTTGGTCCAAATGAAGCAATGTATGCACGTGCTAGTAATAATGTTTTAACATCATCCGCTATTCGACCTTCAACACCACCGATTTCCGGTACTTCAGGTATATTTAATAGTTTGGCACGTCATTCCAAAGATTCTTATCGTTCATCTACTGGCTATCATCATCATCATCCAACACCATTGGTCATTCCACCACCACAAGTTCCTTCGAATTATGCTTCAAGTAAAGATTTACAGCCACAACAATCACAGAAATCTTCAATTGAACCAGAAATATCAACAACAATCAACAATGATAAACAAACAGCCAGTAGCATTAAATCTACTGTACAATCGTCATCACAGCAAACAGGACAGACAAAAATTGATTCATCAATATCTGAAAAGGATCAGGTGGTTGATTCATCATCACCCAATCAGGATTGGATACCATCAAATTTTATTGAAAAAGGTAAAAAAACAATCAATCAATATGAATCAAAACATTGATCAATAATTTATTCATTTATATTTATAGTTGTAGCTATTTACGATTATACAGCTGATAAAGATGATGAACTATCATTCCAAGAGAATTCAGTCATCTATGTTATACGTAAAAATGAAGATGGCTGGTGGGAAGGAGTATTGAATGGTATTACGGGATTATTTCCAGGAAATTATGTTGAATCATGTTTGTGAACCGAATAATTATTATTACATCATCATCATTCCTATTAATTCACAATATTATCAAATCGTTATAATGTTAACTGTATTTGTTAAATTGAGTTATGAGTTATCGTTTTATTTCAATAGAATCTTACCACTTAATTATGGGGCTATTTAAAAAGTACAAATTTGTTTATTTCATTTTTAATTGATTTGAACTTTATTAATAATTTTATATGAACATGTTATGTCAATAAATAAATTAATTAATGATTAAAATATTGATTATTTGATTTTGTTCTGAATTAATTGATTTTTCATTTGATTATCATCATTTTTGGAATTTGTTTCTGTTTCAACACTATCATCATCATCATCATCATCAACATCATCATTGTCATCATTTTCGTCGTCATCATCATCATCATCATCACCATTTTCGTTTTGATTAATAATTTTTTCCTGTTTTAGCTGTTGATCTACTTGATCTTCAACTTGTTTCATACGTTCCTGTACTAATAATCTTGATGATTGTAATTGTCGATGATCATCGGAATAGTAACCATTTCTAGATGATTCAGATTCGGTCAGATGTATAGGAAAAAATTCAGAATTACTTTCCGTATCGCTTTGATGAGCGGTTATTAGACTTTTGAATTTTTCATGTTCACGCATCAGATTTTCTATTTCAGCCAAACTTTTGGATTGTTGATAAGCAAGGAATGCGGCTTGTGTATTGTAATATCGTGGTAATGATGCCGCTGCAATCATATTAGCCGGTAATGGTTGCGTTGGTGGTGGATATCCACCATAGGCAGCTGCAGCTGCAGCGACTAATGCTGCTGCCTGACCATTCGTATACATTTGATGTTGATGGTAAGCAGCGGTCGCAACATTTGGAACCGGATATATGGTGGCAGGTGTAACGGCTGCATGATTTGTTGACATTGTATTCATCATATAGTTGGCATTGGCGAAAGGAATGATCGTAGAAGCAGCAGCAGCAGCCTGATTGACGATAACCAGATTCGAAAAGGCAACTTCATTATTATTATTTGTTTTTGGTTGTTGTGTTGTACGTATAGAACTATCTGGTCGTCGTTTTTCTATCATAGGATTGATTATCGTATGGCTCGTTTGATCGGACATACCATGAGTAAAAGCAAATGTTGAAACACATTGATCTTTTTGCATACGTACACATCCACTGGTTCCAGTGATAAGTTGTTCATTATGATTTGATGCCATACTTGTTGGTGGACAGTTTGATCCATTCATTAGAATGGTTTGTGCATGGTTCGGTGATGTATGAGAAGCAATTTGGGTCATAGTTGTTGAAGCGGAAGCTGCTGCAGTTGTTGATCCAGGCGTTATAAATGAATGTGGAGGTATTTGTGGGGGTGGTATTGCTCCAGCTGCTGCTACTGCAGCAGTTTGCATCATAGCCATAGCATATGGATTATAACCATTTAACATGGCTGCCGTTGGTTGTGGTGGTGCGTTGGCAAATGTTGAGCCAAATAGAATGTTGAATAAGTCGCCTGTCGATGTAGATTTTGTCACAAATGAATTTGTATTGGCATTTGTCGATGATTGATTGGCTTGATTAGATGTTAATCTTTCTGTTGTTTCACGTAATCTATTTGCCGCTTTTGCAGCAGTGAATGCAGCTGATATTATACTACCGGATGTATCACTATCACGACGAGTGAATAACCGTTTTTCACGTTCCTTTTTTTTCTTACGTCGTTGGTTACGATGATAAGTAGTCATTTCGGTCATCTGTTGTTGTTCCATTGATTCGAATGAAGCTTGTTGCTGAGATGCATCCGAAATGGATAGATTTTGAGATAAGAACGATGATGGTCTTATCGTATTGGTTGGCTGATAATTGGCACTTTGTCCAACATTTTTATGACCATAATGCTGTTTGACAAACATCATGTTTTCGTTATTATTATTTCCGCCCCAAATGGCGTATCGACGATTCAATAAGGCAGCAAAATTTTGCTGAAAATTTGTCGATACACTTTGTGATTGAGCTGAATTAATCTCCATATCGACTGGATCATTGTGATTGGATACAAGACTGGGTACATATAATCCTTGCTGGATTTGTTCTCGTTTCTGATAAGAATTGGCAATCAATTCATATGGTTTTAATCGTAATGATTCTTTGGTTTCTTTACTTGAATTACAAAGCTGACGATTAAGAAATCTTCGCCAAGTAGAAATGGTAGCACGAGTCCAAATCCAGCTTGATGTTAGAATGGGCGAACAAAATATGGCAATCAATTGTAAACAGACAAACCATAGATTCGGTGGTTCATATTGACGACATGAACTTACATAGCCATTTCCATAAATATCATAAGGTTCATTTGACAATGAATTTGATTGATGATTATATTTGTTCTGTAATGATTCATTGTTAAAAAGATATTTAGCTGGTAATACAGTACTAATGTTGAGTTCACAAACAAGATGATCATTGAATTGTCTGAGATTTTTGTCTTTGATATACAATTCATAAAAATAAGCGCCCGATGTGACTAGATAGATAACCAGTATGGCCGTCGAGAAAAATGTTATTCGTATCAAAGCCCAATGAATATTATCACTTCGACGAGAATTTTGATTTTCACATTTTTGTTTGGCTTTAAATAATATTAACACTGTACGACATGCATGATAAAGACCAGTAAAAATACAAATCGTTTGAGGAACAAGTACAAAAATAATACGATATACTGGTTTGACAGTGCCAACAAAACAAATACCACGTAATGGATCGGCATCAATTTCACCCAACAAGAATATCAATATTGTCATTATAAGTGGTATTGACCAGGAGAACATGTGGAAATGGAATTTATTGAAATCCATTTTCATACCAGTGGAAAGTCCATAAAATGTTTTGTAAAAAACGCGAAATAAATGCACAAACCATATAGATGCTGCCAATGAAAAATAGTAGATGAGCAAAAATGATAGACAACAATAGAAATGATCTGATTTTGATGGCTCTCCATAACGAATCGTATTATCTGATCGGCATACAATATCGTTACGACCTTTGAGCAATTGTAACATCCAACCAGTTGTCGCTAATAACATACATAAATTCAGATAAAATATGACAGATGTATAGAAACGACGTTTTAAACAGGCACGATCAATAAGAAAAGAACAAATGGCAAACAACGTGGCTGTTGATCCTAATACAGATCCATAGGCGATAATTTTGGACATTTCTTCATATTGTTCATTACTATAGACAGGATTTATACAATGTAATGAACAGCCATCAAATCCATGATAAAAGATACGGCTATCATCAGTTGATACCAATGGTGTTGGACAACGACTATTTACAATTGTTGTAGAAAATTTTAGATCTGTATATGAATTCGGACATTTGGTAGGAAAAAATGTTTCATTTTCACATTGAAGAAATGATGGCCAACGAAAATGTTCATCAATAATACGGCATGGTGCACGTGTTAATCGACACATTTCATATGTGGGCAATATGACACGTGAACTGTCATTATCACATCGTGGAAAGAATGATGCACACAATGCAGTCTGTAATGCTTTCCAACATTGCGGTATAGATCGTAGACCTTTCCAACCATCCAAATAGGAACGTGTCATCTCAATCATTTGCTGATGATTCATTAATACTGATGATAATGATGATGATTGTTCGAATGGTAACGAATAGGCTGTAAATTTATACGGTAATGATACATCTAAACATGGTAAAGATACATTCAATGGAATGCAACGTTTTACCGGTCGATAACAATTAGCCGGACTTCTATATGATTTCATTGTCTAAATAAATTGGAAAATGATACAATTGTAACAATAAATGAAACAACAATTAACATGCTTACCATGGCAAAAAAAGTGTTGTCCAGATTAGCAAATACAAGAGATCGATTCGAATTGATGGACCAAATGGTCATCATCAATATAAAAAATGAAGCCAAATAGGAGAAAAATTCCATTTTTGATCATCATTAAATGAGCTAAATATCGAATGTCAAATATAAATTCATTTTGAAACAATAAAAATATATATGTAGATCGAAATAAACAATAATAACAATCAGTTGTGAAAAAATTCAACGTGCAATGAACTAACACAGTCGCTCGAATGCAACAGGCGAAGTCAAAATGGCTGGCATTGTCTGCATATACACTCATACACTCACAAACACACACACACACACCTCGAAACCTCGATCAAAAATTCATGGCTGAATTGAACCAAAATGAATGAGTGAAAGTTTTTTTCGGCTTTAGCAAATATACATGCATGTATAATAATACAGCATGCTTATACAGCGTTAACAAAGCTTCAACAGGTTTTTTTTCCAATATTTGGATAGGCGCGCTTTCAACCAATTATATCAAGAAGAATCGGGTCAATTTTTTTTTTTTTTTTTTGAAAATAAATATAAGAAAAAAAAGATCCATCATCATTCATCTTTACAATTGAAAAATTGATCAGAGACATTGAAAAGAATTTTTAAAAAAATGAAAAAAAAATCACATTAGTAAATATTCTAGCCGATAGATGGCAGTAGTATAGCCACTTTTATTCAAATTCAAATCAACCAGAATTTTGGAATTTTTTTCAAATTGATTCAAAAACACAGCGTTGACAATTTTTCTTTAATCAAAAAAAAAATTCTTTTTTACTACATTGAATCAAATTTATGAAAATAATATACAAAATTCAATTCAATTTAAATCAATTGTCCATCTGATTGGAATCGATATAGTTGAACATTCTGTTAAGCTTTTTTTTAAAAAAAACATGACAACAAAAATGACAATGACAACATTGATGATGATGGTGATCCATTGTTGTTGTCCAAGAACATATAGCAAGAGAATAGAAAAAAAAATTGATAAAAAAAAAGAAACAACTGATGAGACAAGTACAATTTGTTCATTCTATAAGAAGAAAAAAAAAATACAGTTTACGACATTGATAATGATGATGTCGATGTTGTTGCCTTTTTATTCTTGTGATTCTTCTTCTTCTTCTTCTTTTTTGTTGTTGTTGTTATATTCTCATTTTGTTCACTATAGCTAGCCCAAATAAACAGTATATATACATTGACAATGTTAAGGATCAAAAAGCCAGAAATGATAGTATGAGAAAAAGAAAACGACAGCTGCCTGAATTGAAAACTTTTTTTTTTTTTTTTTTTGTCTAGAAAAGGGGAATCATTGTCCACGTTCTATGTTTGCTTAATTCGTTTTAGATTTTTATTTTTCATATTTATTTGTCTGTTTGTTTGTACGAATGTTCTATATATATATATATATATATATATATTCTTGAACAAAAAATTTTTTTTTTTTTGCACTTGTTCGTTCATTTAGAAACGAGACGGTTTTTGATCGGATCAATTGGATTCGATTCTGAATTTTTTTTTCTTGCTTTATGTTTAAGTGTAGTGAAAATAAATACAAATGATGATGATAGTGTGTGTGTGTGTGTGTGTGTGTGTGTGTGTGTGCCAAAGATTATGGAACAATGAAAACTGAAATCGATGAAACTGTCGAAATCATCCACTGAAATGGTTCACTGGCGTTGAGTTCGATTTGTGAGACATCAAAGAGACAAAAAAAATTTTTTTCTTTCTTTTTTTTTCGTATGTTGATGATGGTGAAAAAAAAAGTTTTGTCCCGAAAAATTCTTGGCCCTATTATCGATATGGCAATGGATCACACACGCACACACACACATTGATCTATCTGATGACATTATCGTAAGAGTAAAAATTCGAGATTGCCATTTTTAACCCTAGAAAGGTAACCTTATCGATATTGCGGGAAAGGTAACCTACGTAAATTTTACGTAGTTGATATGCTTAACTTATTTCCGCTATAAAAATTATTCATCTGATTATTTATGTTAAATTTTAACGTTTATTCATTGAATCACACCTCTATTTTATATTAAAGAAGAAAAAATCATTTTTCAAAAGTTGAAAGTTCAAAAATATCAAATCAAAGATATGGTGTAAATTTTGAATTTTTTTTTATTGTCAATTTTGAAATTATCACAGCGTCAAGAAAAAATAAAAAATGATCCTGTAAATATGATTAATCAATCGATGATTGTGTTTCGAAACATGATTGACAAATTTTTATCTGATGTTCGCCACATAGGCGGTGCAACAACGTTTACATCCGGTCGTTTTTAAACGCTTTTTGCAAGCATTTTAATTTTGAATAAAGTGAAAAACATAAACAAATGAACAGAAAAGACGTTTATTTCAAAAAATATTGCGACAAAACGACGTTTTTGACAAGTGAAAAGATAAAAAAAAGAAAAAAATTAAAATTATTTTTATTCATAAATGACGTTTTTTGGGAAAAATTTCCTAAGATTTTTCTATGATGATTCAGGCAATCATACGTAAATTTTACGTATAAGCTTTTACGCCTGAGCTTATAGATAACAGATAAAAGGTAAAAACTGGATTTTTTCTATTTCTAAAGGTGTAGAAATATATTCTTGAGGAATAGAAAGTGGTTCCAGCTGTCTTAGCATCGCGAGTGTTTTTTTGGAACATTTTTTTCGTGGCAAAAACATAAATTTTACGTAGGTTACCTTTCTAGGGTTAAAAAAAAAATTGAGTCTGTTCTTTTTTTTGGAACAATGATTATCATCATCATCATCATCATCGAGACAAATATCGATGACTATCGTGACAAAGTTCGACACAAACAACTGTGTCTACTTTTTTCTCTGACCCAAAATTTTCTCAAAAAAAAATGCTTACTATATGATGATGATGATGATGAAAAAGTTTGCTGAATGTTTGTCTGTTCCATTTGATCATGTCGATGATGATGATATCTTTCATTGGCTAAGAAACATGTGTGTGTGTGTGCGTGTGTGTGCATGTGTGTGGGTGAGAAAAAAAAATCCCGATTCAACTGACTACATTATAAAAATGATTTCATTTTCTTTTTTTTCAAATTGAAACTTCAACAATCAAACGCTAAAAACTCTTTTCTTTTTTTTTCTTTGGACTAGTGTTCTTAAGAATTAGAGTGCGAGAAAAAAAATTCACCAAACGCATGACTGAATTCTGAATTAGAATTGGAAATTTTTTTTCTTTGTTTGCACTTTACTATTCATATCAGGTATTCTATGGATTGATGTTGATGATGATTTTAATGTTTTGATGTATGTTTATTTGAACGTTGGTGATGAAGCTATTTTTCTCGAAAATTTTGGCTATTTTTGGCTTAATTTTAGCTTGAAAAAAGGACTGAAAAACATTTTTTTTGAATCTTTTCATTCAATTTTACTGTACTTTTAGTCATCTGATTGTTCAATCAAGACATTTTTATTTGATGAAGATAATATCTACAATGCTTATATAAAACTGAATGATTATTTTATCTAATAGAATTTCATGAGAATGTAAAACTGATGCTATGAAGTATAGTGAATATATAATCATCAAAATGAAGAAAAAACAACGAAAAAGCCTAAACCACGAAACAACAACAAAAATGTCCTATGTATTCAATAGATTCAATAGATTCAATCGAATTTTAACTTTCCAATCGAATTTCGATTGAAACTATTCGACGGTAAAAAGAATTGAATTGAATTGAGATAATGAAATGGACTCCACACACACACACACATATGCAATCAAGTATTTAGCCTTGGTGATGTTCAAACGTTTCTAAATACAAGTATCATCCATGGTTGAATTGTCTCAATGGTTTTTTTTTCTTCTTCTTCTTCATGTGTCTAGGGAAACAATCAGGCCCATTTCTTTGAAAATACGTATTAGATTCACCAAAGCTTTTAAGGCCTATAGGCCTATTTCTTCATTTATTTATTTATTTATTTTTTCTCATCATTCAATGATCATTTTTGTTGTTGTTGTTGTTCAATCCTCAATACGACAATTCATTTTTTTTTGTCGTCAAACATTTTTACATCACATAACCATATGGTTGGGCACAAAAAAAATGTTTGGAACCAAGAAAAAAAAACCGAACATAGAAACCAGGCAAAATGAATTGAAAAAAGAGAGAGAGAGAGAGAAAAAACGACATTCTTGTTGTGTGCTATGTGAATTTTTTTTTTCGTTTTTCTCTTTTCTTTTTTTTTCGTCTTTTCCATTCGAGCTCTATATGGATAAAATTGATGGCCTCATTCTCGAATTCATACCCAAAAAGAGAAAGAAGCAAACAAACTAACTTGAAATGAATTTGAATTGAATGAATAAATCAACGAGTATCGTACCGTACATTTTTTGAGTGTATAGTGTGAATTAGACTTGATTATTTTTGTGCAACATATATATATATAGACGTTTGAATCGCTAAACAGAAAAAATTCGTAGAATCCATCATCATCATGTATAAATTGTTTGTACGTGTTTAAGGTTTAGAACTTTTTCAGTTTCTTTCTTTATTTCTTGTTGTTGTTGTTGTTATCGTTGTCCGAACAATTGTTCTATTTTTACAGAAAAAAAATATCATCATAGTTTCACTATATCCATTGTTGGTCAACTAAAGTGGTCTGAACTCAAACAAAATGAAAATGCCAAAACCATATAACAGCCGAAATAACATTCACTGGATATGTTGGATCAATTGCATGGCTAGTTTATAGCATACAACCTCCACTAATAACAAATCGACTATCGGATTGATTGATTGACTATTGTAGGACCAATATATATATATCGTTAGACCGACACCACCACCATGGTAATGATGGCGGTTTTCTTTTCATGATCATCGATTGAATTCTCCCCAATACCTACTACAGAAAAATATCATAATGAGCTCGTATTATACATGATTTCATCAAAAAAAAAAAAAAAAAAATTGCCAAATCAAATCGACGGCTAAACTTGATCTGCATCTGTGACGCCCTTTTATTCCCTTGGTTTCGGTTCGCCAGCGATCAGCATAGAAATCGAGTAATAAAAAAGCATAAATGTTGAATTCACAGATTTCTCATTTTCCCGTTTATCCGATTGTTCAGTTTGTTTTATTTTTCACTTTTCTCATTTTCTATTGTTTTGTTGCTTAGAGAATCTCTATTCGATTCTTTGAATCGAAAAATGGTATCGATTTTCACGATTTATTATT